TATCTACTAAATTATATTTGCTATAAAAGAAAAAAACATTGAAAATTTAAGAAAATGGTTGAACTATTTTTAAATTATGTTTCAGAAGTACCATCTTTCCCACTTGTTTAGGTTTTAGATTAGTCCTTTTGGCAGTAATAATATTTCTTACATCACTAAATAATCTCTCCAAAGCAACAGGTGTAGCTGAGATGCATAAAAATTTTTTTGTCAATTTTGTTAAAATGGGAAAATTATTTTTGTTTCCATTCCACCATTTAAAAGGATCAATATCATTCCTTATATTACTAGGAAGATAATGTGATATTTCATTATAATTACCAACCACATCATTATCAGGTTGCAATATTTGTTTTAAAATAGAAACATTATTCAAATCATATTTGAAAGTTGAGAAACTCAAGAATGAGAAAGAGTTATTTTATAAATGAAAACGTTTCTATGAGAAAGAAAACGTTTTCTATGAGAGAGAGTAAATGAAAACATTTTCTATAAGAGTAAATGAAAATGTTTCTGAAAAAATATTTAAATTGTTGTAGCAATATAAGTTATTTTTTTATTATCTTTAAAAAATTTTTATTAGATAATATAAATAAAGTTAGTACTATTTGTTATCAATTGATAAGTAATCCAAAAATAATTACGAGTATCCAAAATTATTACGAGTATCCAAAATAATTACGAGTATCCAAAATAATTATGAGTATCCAAAATAATTACGAGTATCCAAAATAATTATGAGTATCCAAAATAATTACGAGTATCCATAATAATTATGAGTATCCATAATAATTACAAAATAAATTATATATATTCAAATATCCTTGAATAAATTGATTTTTGAATATTCATAAAAAATTTGATTTTCGGTTAGGAACACTACTTCCAGGAACCTCAATTAGAAGTTTTCAGGGTACTATTACAACTATGGATAAAGTTGAAATCTGTATAATCCATCAGCCACACCATGTGATGATTAAGTGTCACTAGGTTTCACCACATGTATAATTACATCTTGCATTACAAATTGCATCCTGCATCATGAATTATCCCAAAATAAAATCCTTTTAATTGAAAGATCAGTAAAAATATAATTTCATATACATATTTGTTAAGACTTACTTTCTTAGTGCAAAATCTAATATCAGATCTGAAAATTTCAGGCCAATTTCATGTAAGGTTGCTTGCCAAAACTTCTTAGTGACTGTCAAAATTTTGCCAAAATTCTAATAAACAATTAGTGTGTACATTGCTGAAACTCTGCCAATTGCCAAAAAACCCCAAATGCAAAACTCAGCTGAAACTCTAATAAATAATTAGTGCATAACTTGCCAAAACTCAGCTGATTAATTCTGGAGGAATTTTGGGTTAGCATTTAACCTGCCTGAAACTGGTCTGTTTGGAGCTTTGGTTGGGTAGTTGAAGAAGCAAAGCTGTTGTGAATATTTACATAACCCTTTCTGATGATTAATGGTTTGGCCAACCTTTAATTATTAGTTAGTGCCCTTTGTATTTTACTAGGAATGTCTCAAGTAGTATAGTTGCCTTTAATTATTATTTTATTGTGTGTACAGCTTAAGGATACTGGCTGCAGCTTTTGATGATGGTTGCTACCACCTTTACAACCATTTTGTTTCCTTTTTTGGATTGTGACATGGAACACTAGTACAGCTGGAGAGGAACCTGTGACACTTGGCCAGGATTCATCTGCAATAGAAAAGTGATTAGTGGCTGTACAACTAACAAAAATCTAGTTAGCAAAGGATATCTATAAGCTGGAAACTCAGATTACATGCATCACAGTGGGTGGTGTTCATTTCATTGACAATCATTTCATCAACAGTTCATTTCACCAACAACATGGGGCATGATGATTTTGCGTGTGGATGCATATTATTAACAATTTTATTATTTGAAGTTAAATGTTACATTGGGTGTTGTCAGTGAAATGAACTGTCAATAAAATGATTGTTGACAAAATGATACAGACCCCATCACAGTATATATTATTAGACAAACTCAAGCACATTCTCACAAATAGTTTATGAAATATAAAATTTTGAAACTCTTCTTAATTGGCTTAATATTTCCTATTTTATTTAAAAATAAAATTAATTATAAAAAATTAATATTGTTAAAAAATGTGCAAATTTATACTAGGTTAAAAAAAAAATTTAAAGGGCTGATCTGAATATGAATCCTATATTCATTAAAAAAAAAAACCTCTATTTTTTGTAGAACAAGGAAAATAAAGCTTAATATCAATACAATAATAAAATAAAATAATAAAATAAAATAATAAAATAAAATGATAAAATAATAATAAAATAAAATATAAATATGTTAATAAATAGTTAGTAAATAATAAATAGTATAGTAAATAATAAAATGGGATAATAAATAATAAAATGGAGGGTTGGCAAATTGATTGGTCCATTGAGAACAGATGGACTTTAGACTGGTCCATTGCCATTAATAAAACACTAAATATGGTTAAAGTGTTACACTAATGGACCTAATGGACCACCAATAGACCATTAATAGACAATACATTTGCCAACCCTGGATATAGTAAATATCTAAAATATCAATATGAAAATTATAAATGCAATTTTTATCAAATAAGTTTCAAAACTCTTTAAAAAAATATATTTACCTTTTAAAAAATATACTAAACAAAATTAGAAGTACACAGTGAATCTCAATTTAACGGATAGTTTGGGCAATTAGGGAAAATTTTCCAAAAATCCGTTAAACCGAGATATCTGCTATATCAAGAAGGTTTTTATTAAGGTTTATTATGAAACCATTCTTTGAACTTTATCTGTAAAACTGAGATTTTTAATTAGTATCCACTAAATCAAGGTCCGCTAAATTGAGATTCACTGTGTAATCTAGAATGAAAAGAAATAAAAAATATAAATTAATCAATAACTGTAAATTATAAATTACACACATATATATTACTCCTTGGTGGTTAGTCATGTGCCCAATGATGGTTGAATAATAATTAATAATGAGTAAATGAATGGATAATGAATAAATGAAATAATTAATTATCTACCACCATTCCTTGCCTATGTTTTTTCTTTTAATTGAAAATCTTTATTTTTTGTGAATGCTATTTAATCTATTTTACAGCCATTTATAAATGAGATCAACCAATAAAAAATATCTAATAATTTTATTAAAGCTTCTCACAAGCTGACTTGTGAGCCAAATAACTTATTCAGCTTGCGAGCTGGCTCATGCGGAGCCTTAAATTTTATATATATACACGCTAATTAAATTTTTTAAAAAAATAAAAAATAATTAAAAGAACTTAACAACTTGAAAAAAATCTCTATATTAACATTGTTATAATTAAAGTCTAATTTTATTCTCAACATTATCATTGTAATTAAAATAATTGTTTTTGTTATGTCTATATCTATTAAAGCTCCATGCAAGCTGGCTCATGTGGAGTCTTAATACCTATATCTATAAATTGTTCATCTAAATCTTGTTCTTTAGATCACACATATATATCATCACTGGGCATTACAGTAGCTTATCCTGACCAAGGACCTCTATATAGTATGTAATATAACATAAAAAAATTTCATATTACCTTTTTTAAGTAGAGCCAAATATAGTAAAATGACTTTTTTCTTTATGAATACGATCATAGATCTTGATGACATAATCTTTGAATAGAGTAGTAAATTTCATGTTACCAGAAGTAGCTGAAGATACCTGATCATATTCTTTTTTTAATTCCCAAAACCATTTCTCTGAATCCATATTGCTCAATTGATTATGATCACCAATGTTGATCTCATATTTGTTTATTTCTTTATCATCAGATTCATATTGGTATGTTGGCTTGATGTTGAATACTCTTGGCAAAAATAATTCAAAAAAAGGTTTCAATGTAGTGACCTCATTTGATTTTCTTAACAATTGTAAATGGAAAGTTTCAAATGGTACATAATGCTTGCAATAGGCATCATAGATCGAAAGAATGTTTTCATATGCACTATTTCTAATTATAACTGTAATTTTTCTCTCAGGATGAAGTTGTATTTCTATGTCTATCCATATTTTTGACAAGATAATATCATGGAAACATAATTTTGTAATTAATGAATTTGCATTGAAATTTCTTAATATCCAATCATAGAGAGAGCTTCTTAGAGTAAGTGTTCTTAAATTATTTATTGGGTTTTCAATATTTGAATTTGCAAACTTATTTATGTTATTATATAATAATTCTTGGCAATCATTTAAGATAAAATCACCAGCTTCTACCATCATAAATGAATTAGGGCCATGAATAGATGAAAGACTATTATCATCTTTCATGACGAAAGAGTTGTTGCTAGGGTTTTGACGAATGAAATTATTATCGTATACAGAGTTTTGAAAAACTGAATAACCAACGCTAGAATTTTGATTATTGTAATTATTGTTTTCAGGGTTTTGATGAATGAGATTAATGTTTTCAGGATTTTGACGAATGAAATTATTACTTTGGCTGATGTAATTGTATACAAAGTTTTGATGAATATAATTATTGTTTCCAGGATTTTGGTGACCGAAATTATTGTCACCAGGGTTTTGGTGAATGTGATTATTGTTTCCGGGACTTTGGTGAGTGTAATTATTGTTTCCGGGACTTGGGTGAGTGTAATTATTGTTTCCGGGGCTTGTGTGAGTGTAATTGTTGCCTCCGGGGCTTGGGTGAATGTAATTGTTGCCTCCGGGGCTTTGATGAGCGTAATTATTGTCTCCAAGGCTTGTATGAATGTAATTATTGTCTCCGGGGGTTTGAATGTAATTATTGTCTCCAGGAGTTTGATGAATGTAATTGTTGTCTCCGGGGGTTTGAATGTAAGTATTGTCTCTAGGGTTTTGATGAATGTAATTATCGTTTCCAGGGCTTTGGTAAACGAAATTATCGTCTCGATGGTTTTGATCAATGAAATTGTTATCCACAAAGTTTTGATGAATGTCTCCAGGGTTTTGATAAATGTGAATTATTGTATTTTCTATTTTCTTGTTAAGTTCTTCCTTAGTTGCTGTATCAAAAAAATGAAAAGCCATTGTTTCCAAAAATACAAATTCTAATCCGGGCATATTTTTATAATTTTTCAAAAAATCCAAAACTTTATACTTTACTTCTCTTTCAACTTGAGTAATTTCGATTAAACATTTTTGAATTACGATAGATTTTGGCTCATTTCTAACCTCGCAAAAAGATTCCATCAAAATGGAATCACCAATTATATCAAGCCGACTTTCGCAAAAACATAAAATGTTAACCATTGCAACTTTTGTCAATTTGAATCCAATTTTAATGAGAGCACACAATTGATTTACAACCGTTTTTTTGCTTGGATCATGTGCGCCAGCAGGAGTATTTAACGGAAAAAGTCTTAGAATGCATCCTTGAATTACCAAATCATTAACATCTCTGCAAATGTCATTGTAGCCTATCTTTTTCCACATGTCGACAATGGAATGTTCTAATAAAATTGCTCTTGCGATAATATGAAGATGACGATTGTTCTCATAGCCATCCTTCGCTGGAAATTCTTCCCGATTAATGATTTGCGTTGTTCTGGAATATTCGTTTGTGTCTTCAAATTTAATTTTTGGTCGAGGAGGAAACGGTGTAAACTTTTGATTGACAATAAGATCACGAATTTCTTCCAAGTTTACTTGAATGATTCGAGACGCTTGGTCAATGGGCAACTGTCCGGAGCTTAAAAAATGAAATTTTTCAATATCGTTCCCTTTTAGAGGCAAATGTGTACCAAATCTTGCTTCAGCTTCGTTTAATAAAGTAATAAATACATCAAACGATATGTCAGATGACCATGGAGTCTTTATACTATTTTGAAAGACTTTAAATTTTTCTCGATCAATTTCTTGGGAATTATTATTATTATCTTGTAATTTTAATTTAATCAAATCTTGATCGTACTGGCCGTATTGTAATAATAGCCTTTGAATAAAATATCTGGATAGATTTGCTTTTAACGCTAATAAAGATTTTACAACGTCAACTGTAATAAAAGTTTTCCCCAGTAACACGGAAAAAAATAATACATGGATTTTTCCAAATTTAGTCAAAGCCCATGCAGACTTGGCTGCGGCACTGGTGCAAATTCGACAAAATTCTTTATTTACAAGAATAAGCGAAATAGGAATTTCGATGTACTTGAATATTTCTATAATTAATTCCGTGGGGAGGTGCTTCATATTAAAGAAAGGAAAAGAAAGAAAAGAATAGAAAGAAAAGAAAAAACAACATAATATCGATCAAAGAATTACAAGTATTTATAATAATTAACTCCATATTTTTCGCCAAATAACAATGATCTACAAAAATTTTCCGTGGCATTTTGTTTGTTCCACCATATATTTTGGTCCCACAAACCTTATTATTATTTTTGTTCAACAAGTTAAATGTTTTTAATAGTAATAGGGATCAAAATGAAAATTTGATTTTGCGAATGCAGATCATAATTATTAATGCTACTATCCATCTATATACATTATTAAATTATTTAAAACAATTATATTATTATATTATTTAAAACAATTATTTAAAAATCAATTATTAAAAATCAATTATTAAATGACAATTATTAAAAAAAAACCATTATTTAAAATTGACGATAAAAATTAAGTTTATATTGGATTCAAATGATGTTTGTGTAGAGAGAATTGATATTGAAGTATCTTGAGAAATAGAATCAACCATTCCGATTTGAGGTAAAGTAGATGTTGAAGACTCTAAAACTTTTGGGAAATGCAAAGAGCACTTGCATTAGTAAAAAATAAGTTGAGACATTTTAATTATGAAAAGAAATAAAGTGAAAGGGAGGTAAATGTTTTTAATGAATAAAATAACCTTTTTAATCACAGGGCGCTAGCCTCCATGGGATAAATCACTGTTACATGGTTCCTCGTGGAATAACTATTATTTACCAAATTTTATAAATTTATTTATTATTTTTCTTTAAGTATTGTAATAATAAAAAAAAAATGATGAGGTATTAGGCGAACCGATAAATCGGCAATCTAAATTAAGAATAGTGCATCTTCTGGTAAAAAAAGATTGCTCTTTATTTACAAATACCTTGAAGGCATTATTGGACAAGTCAGGCTTGTTTATAAATACAGTCTTTCCAATCGTTATAAGACTGTGCCATTATAGCTTCCAATGAATCCTCTCCATATTGATATAGGCTTTTTATTTAAGCTATAGTTACTCAAGAGCAGTATTACTTTTTACTTCAAAATTAAGATTTTCATCCACTTATTACCTTTATAAACTTGACGAGTGGTTGAAAATATGGAAAATATTGCAAGCTTTCATATAGGCATAGCTTTGTGTGGAAAACAACCAATTTCTCAATTTTATTAACAATTTCAACGAACTTTTTCCAATAATCTAGGCGAGTCTTTATGCAATACTTGAATATTTTCAAAGCGGAATTCTTTGTTGTTGTGGAAATCATTTGGCAAATAATAGTTTCATCCATTTAAACAAATTTCCTCAATTTAATATCAGGATTACCAAATTTTTAATTAATAAACTTGTATGTTGTCTTTTAGTATTTTCTCCTTTTACTAAATCCTGGAAATTTCCTACAAAAATGGCCAATTTTTTGACGAATGTTGTATAGTTGTAATGAAGTTGTTTTTCTAGCAATTTGAAGTTTAATTAATAAAAGAGTGTCGCGTGCCAAATAGTTTATTAATATTTTAAGATACAAATGGATCCATCCATAACAACATCATATAGATCCCATGCCAACGTTTATTTATTAAATTAAAAGAAACCAAGGCTCGTTTATCATCCTCTTCCAAGCGTTTAAGAATTTTAATTAACAATTCATTTGTTAAACGTTTCATTTCACTTTTAAAAAATTTCTATTTTCATTATTAAAAAACTTTAAAATTTATTCTAAACATGAGGCTACATCCTTAAATAGAAAATTCTGAATTTGGAATGAATGTAACCTTTTTTTTAGATATTAAAATATCCGGTTTTCCATTCAGAGAAAATAAATAGTTCACCAATTAAAAAAAAATTGGGACTGGTGGCGACAAAGGTCAGGGTCGGGGGTAAAGAATCTTACATATTAATATTAAAAATCTTTTAGAGCCAACAAAAAATTTAACAGGTGCAAAGAAACCAATTATTGTAGCTTTTACGATACCACACATGTAGTTGTGGCTGAATTCCTTAACATGACATTCTTTAATCATCGAAACATCCAATAATTTTCTGAATGTTAGACTTTGAAATATTAAATAATAATCACTCAATCACTCAATTCAAAAACCTACCTCATAAATTATATCTACAAGAAAGCGCATGTACTTCTTAATAACAAACATATGTAACGGAGCTGTTGGGATGGTAACGAATATTTGTAATGAGGAGAATTTTAGGTGACCTGACCAGTATAAGAAACACGTTATTTTTGAAATTAATGGTAAAAGTGCATCTAGAAAAAAATCTCTCTTTAGAATGCATTTTCTCCAACTGTTCACAAAATTCAAGGATTAACTCTACCACATGTAACATTGAGAGTATGTTTGCTGGAGGACAAGTATATGTTGCAATGAGCCGGGTTCCCTCATTAGAAAGGCTACAAATTCTTGATTTTGATTATTCTCAAATTACAATCTAACATTTTCTTTAGGAATTTTATTTTTGATTATGTTCAGAATAGCTACATAATAATAATTTTTATTAAAAATATTGTGTTACATCTTGCACCACAATAACAATAACTATATATTAGGACCGGGAAAACTCTATTGAATGTCACCGCCAACATTATGGTTCGAAAGTACTTTTAAAAAGAGGAAAGGTGACCGCGACACTATAACTCGGGTCAATAGAGAATTATTTAAATCCAAATAAGGAAAAAATCACGCCATAGGGTTTACTGACTAACCCATTTTTGGTTAACCATCGTAAATTACAGAAAAAAACAACCAATCAACTTTCGAGATTCGCGTTAATATGATCAGCCACTTAATTTGACAGCGACATCCAATAAAGTTTTCCCGGTCCTTATATAGTACTGTAGTAGTACTATAAGATCAGTTACACGACACAATTAAAAATAAAAAAGGAAATATATTAATATATTAATATTAATAAAAAAATTATCCGCTAAATCGAGATATCTGCAAAACCAAGATAATCATGTACAATAATATTATTAAAAAATACGACAAATAAAATATTAATTTGTGCTCCGTGAGACAACTGCCAAATTTTGCCGATCGTTAGTATAATTTTGTGGCGATAATAAACAATATAGTTTTTGGAATTTTTGGAATATGACCGTCCCTCACGTGATTAAGCATGATTACGCGCGACATAAAAATTTAAAGTTTTATATAGCAATTTTAGGCAAGAATCCAACGGTCCCTCCATATAAAGATAAAATATTTTATAAGAAAGTCCCTTTGAAAATTTGTATATTAAAACTTTGGGTTTCTTATTATTTATTACATTTGCAAATACAATTTATAAATTCGTATAAATAGTAGTTTTTTAGGAATGAAGTATGGGTTCCGGAAAATTTGCGCCAAATTCTATTATGAAATTATTGCAGTTGTTTCACGTATCACGAATTAATATAAATATGATAAATAAAATGTAACAATAATAAGTAATAAATGATTTATTCATCCTAGTGAAAAATTTACATCACAAGAAAAAAATTTTTTTTTATTTTAGAATAAATTCGAATTTCATCTTTAATTACGCTTGGTGTCTGTATTAGTTAATGGTCGACATTATGAGATATTTTTATTATGGTCGAACATATAGATCTAAAAAAAAAAATCCGCTAAATTGAATATATTAATATATGAAAAATCCGTTAACTCCGTTAAATGACAATATAAAACAATTATATATGGATTGGGTTTTGAAATTTTATCCGTTAAACCCTTAAATCCGCTAAATCAAGATCCGCTAAATCGAGATACACTGTGTATTTATATTTATCCCTCGCCAAGATCCCTCCGAACATAGGGATAAAGGTCAGACCTACCCAGAAATCGTCCGCATATGGTGATGTCAGTTTTCGAGACGTTGACTCGCATACTATTGTGTCATATTTCGAAAAAATGAGGCAAAAATTATATGGTGCCTACTATTACGCAATGTCCCCATCTTATTTGACAGAATATTTTTAAACACTATCAGCTTCCCAAAAAATTATGCAATTAAAAAATTTAATCCATGGATTATTATAAGATTAGTTTATATTACTGTATTATGATGGGAATTATAGTTTTGTTAAGATTTATGTTTCTAGTATGTATTTAGGTTTCGGTATTAGGTTTAGATTTTTTATTTCTTCCCTAAACTAGTTTTGGATAGTTTCAGTTTTTAATTTCCCTGTTTCATCCAGTTTGGCAATGATGGTTATTTAAGTTTTGAACTTCCAGTTAAATAACCGGTTCAAAAGTCAAATAAACAGTTCACAATTTTTCAATATTCTTCACCTATATCTTTTTATTGTGAAATATGATTTCCTATCAGCTTAGCTGTTCTTCTGCGTGAGAAATTGATAGATTTTATAAATAAATGTTGTTCTTTCCCATAATTAAAATTAAAGTTATTCAAATATTATACGCTTATATACAATTGTAAAAATTAAGCAAATACAAATTACATGCATATTATTTGCTTAATCTCTACAAATAGTTCAAAAAAAATTTTGAACCAGTTGGGTTTAAATTGCTAATACGGATATTGAATGGTAATAATAATAATAACAGTATATTCGGATTTCATAATTTACGAGACTTAAAAGTCAAACCAAATTTTTTGAAATATTCAAAAAATTAAACCAAATTAACACATCTTATTAACGTAATAATAGAAAATGAAAATTTAAACATTATAATTTATAATTCCTATGACATGAATATAAAAACCATGAGAAACGTGAAAATTCTCAATAAATAATTATCATATAACCAATAATTATTAGAAAAATTTATATCTAAACATTTGAGAACACGGAGAACATTTTTTTATTATACTATTACAATATGTTAAACTCGTCAATTCGGTTTAGTTATCATTTGAAAGCCTTTCAAAATTTTTGATTTGACTTTTAAAGCTCGTAAATTCATCGATTGTGAACAAACCCAAGCATTTTATTATGCAAATCACTGTGGAAACAATTAATACACAAATATTTCCCACGTATAAATTGTTACTGTCTGTAACTATAACGAAGATATTTTCCTAAGCCAAAGCTAAATGGTTCGCAAGAAATGATGTTTCGAAGAAAAGGTCTGCATTCGGTTCATAAACCCATGTTTGCAAATGTACATAACAATAACCCATTAAATTTATTATGTTTAGATAGGTGCTCATGTAAATTTAATGTTTTAAGCTTTCTATAGTCCGAGTAATAATAAAACAAACTTCAATTAAATTTGATTCTCTTAAAATCTTTTTTTTTCGCTATCTGGAAGAAGAAAAACATGTGTTTTCACTGATTACTCAACAATATATATATCATTTTCGCCTTAGAGGGTAAGTATTATATTATAAATTAACTTTTACAACACAAAATAAACATAATTTAATTAAATATATTTATTTTTTATTTCATAGAGTGCAAGCATTATATTATAATTTAACTTTTACAACACAAAATAAACATCATCTAATTAAATAATTTTATTTTTTCTTCTTGGGAGAAATCTTCGATTAAAAAATCGCAATCCGTGATGGTTTTGAACTACGGGTTTGAAGTGTGCCGCATTGGTTCGCTGAACCGTTCTCACACCTACCTTAAAAAACAATGCCTCCAAATATTACTACGCAAAATGGGCGTGGTGGTTTCTAAGGCAAAAATTTTATAGATAAAGAATTACATATAAGAGTGGCATTAACTCAAAATTGCTTTTTTCATATTATTTATTACGGTTCTTTTCTATTGACCAGAAAATTACTTTTTCGAATTGTTCGAATTATTTGGGAAAATCACGGTTGCTAAAAATGTAGTAAATATATCAGATGGAAGCAGAAATTTGAAATTTTATTCTAAATTGGCTACCTTTCTATATTGTAACAGTTCGGATGATGGAAGAAGGTGATGCCTTATACAAGAGTGGATGAATTCCCTGGTTATTTTAGTTGCTCTTAACAAATTTAACACATTCTTTCGCATCCTGCACGTCTTCTTTTTTAGGCAGCTCAAATTTTTGTTCCAAAGTTGATTTTATTATTTACCTTACGATGTGTTATTAACGCTTTTGAAACTGTTAACATTTTTGAAAGTTTGAAGCTGTTGATTAAGTTTATCTACGGAGAAAAGAAAAGTTTAGTTTCGAATAGAACAAAGTGCAGTTTCGAGTTGATACAAAAATCTGTGCTCAAATAGTGTCACCAGAGTAATAGAAAATAACATCACATTGTATAATCAATAGAGTATCTTCTAGGCGATTATTTTTTAAACATCTGGAAATCGTATTTTCAAAAGCAAAAAAAATATTAACTTGATTGATTTTTCTTTACAAATTATCAATAATAATAACATTATGAACTTCCCTGCAGAAATTCATCCATTTATGGTTGGTTTGTTGAACACAGAATGATTAAAAAAAAAATGATTAAATTTTTTCACAAGTTTAATAAAAATGTATCAAAAAGATTATTTAATTCCTCTGGAAGGATGAATTCTTTAAAGATCGATGATCATAATGATAAAGATAATAACAACAATGGACCTTTGAGTGGAATTCGGGTAGTAGATCTTACAAGAGTTTTGGCAGGACCTTATTGTACGATGCTATTAGGAGATCTTGGGTAAATAAACACAAGCACAAAATTTATTAAAGAGGCATCTATTAATATAATTTTGTCTACCAATTGATTATAAATCAAAGCGCTGAAGTGATAAAGATAGAGAACCCATCATCAGGTGATGACACACGCTCATGGGGTCCACCATGGGCAAAAAATAAAGATCCAAATGATACATCTAGACCCGAAAGCGCGTATTTTCTTTCATCAAATCGAAATAAAAAATCAATCACAGTAAATTTGAAATCTGTTGAAGGTGTTAAGATTGTTAAAGATTTGGTAGAAAAAAGTGACATATTCGTGGAAAATTATATTCCAGGTAAATTGGATAAATTAGGTATAGGATATGAACAGTTAAACAAGATTAATCCTCGATTGATTTACACTTCAATTACTGGTAAGTAGCAACTATTTTTTTTAATATTATCTATTTGTATAACATTTTGTGAGAATTCACAAATTTTTAAAAATTTTTTTTTTTATCATAAAAACTTTACTGAAATAAAAAAAAATAAAGGATATGGTCAAACAGGTCCTTATGCAAACCGTGCTGGATACGATGTGATAATTGAAGTAATAGAAATATTTATTGAACGTTTGATTGATTTATTTGATAAATTGAATGAATGAATGAATGAATGAATGAATGAATGAATATTGTACATGTATACACTTCTTAGGCAGAAGCAGGTTTGATGCATATAACTGGTGAAGAGAATGGTCAACCAGTCAAAGTTGGAGTTGCTATCACAGGTAAACAATTTATACAGACCTCAAAATAATAATTATGGCATCGTAAAAAAATATTCAAAAAATTAATCTGCAATTCTTTATTATTAGATATAACTACAGGTATTTATATAATAGATAGAGAGCAATGAATTTTCAATATTAGATAAAATCAACATTAGTCATTCATTAACCCACAATAGGTTTATATGCACATGGAGCAATCATGGCAGCACTTCTTTTAAGACAACGTACAAACAAAGGTCAATGGATTGATTGTTCATTGATTGAAAGTCAAGTAGCGTCATTGGTTAATATTGGTAGCAACTATTTGATAGCAAACCAAGAAGCAAAACGTTTGGGTACCTCGCACCCATCAATAGTTCCATATCAAGTATTTCAAACAAAAGATGATTTTATAATGATTGGAACTGGGAATGAAAAACAATTTAAAATTTTGTGTGAATCAATTGATAAAGTTGAATTGATGCATGATGAAAGATTCAAAACCAATTCTGATAGAGTTCAAAATCGCAAAGAATTAATTGAAATTTTAAAAGAGAGATTCCAAGAACATACAACTGAACATTGGTTATTGGTTTTTGAAAAAAATAAACATTCTATTCCATTTTCATCGATTAACAACATTCATAAAACTTTTCAACATCCTCAAATTGTTGCTCGTAAAATGGTTCAAGAAGTTGAGCACCCAAAAGCTGGAAAAATCAAATTAACAGGTTTTTAACTAATTTTCATCTAATAGTCAATATATATAATAAAAATGGGATTAAATGTACTTTTTATATATTCATTAGGTGCACCAGTTAAATATAGTGGTTATAAACCAACAATAAGATTACCACCTCCAATCCTTGGTCAACATACACATGAAGTTTTAAAAAATATTCTCAGTTACGATGAACAAAGAATCCAAAATTTAGAATCAATAAAAGCTATTTAATTAAAATTGTATTAATTTAATTGATAATTTATTCATAGAAAAAATTCATCAATGAATGAATGCATTTATAAAGAAGTTGAAAGGGTTATTATATAGAAAATATATTCATTAATAATATTATTGTTAGTGTTTTCCTACTCTAAGATTCCTTTTTATTTTATTTTTATTTTATTTAACCATTTATGCATGATTGCAATTGAAGCTCCAACTTTTAATTTTTTTCCTAATCAAATTCTAGAAAATTGCCGATCTTACAAACGGTTTATCTAATTTTAATCAACAGGAATTTATTCGTCGTGATTAGTAAAAAAATCAAATTCATTTCGGGATGTGTGATATTCAAGAGTTCTTATTGAACATAACTTTCTACTTTCTATATAGATTTGAAAATTTTTTATTGTGGCGCAACATCACTGGCAAGGAATAGCAATGATTTTTTTTATTCTATAAAAATCGAATATTAATGTGTTGAATATATACAGCGCCTAAACAAAAGTAACGACCACTCCAAGCGCATTAATTATAGAAAAAATAAGTTCTGAAGATTATATTTATATAATTTCATGTTGCTAGATATAATAGTTTCGATTATTTTTTTAAAAAAATTTAATACCAACCATTAAATTTAAGTATAGTAGTAGCTAAAACCCTTATCAATACAACTAATATTTAGTTACCAATCATTGCTTTCGATGCATGCTTGGATTCTTCAGGAACATGCTTTCTGTCGAATTTATAAAGTAGAATATTTTTACATTCTCCTTGCAAAGCAGCCTTGAGTTCATTATTAGGTCTTTACGAAGTCACATTTCAAAACTCCTTCCGTAAATCACGTTCATTTTTAGTTAAATATTACTTTTTTTAAACATTCTCGGCGAACCAACAAGTCTTATTTTATAATTTTTAGAGATTTTTTTTAGATCATCAAAAAATCTTGTTTTTAAATTATATATATAATCTTATATACGTACGTTTTGTGTAGTTAATGCGTTTGGTTGGGGTAGCCGATACTTTGTCCAGATGCTGTATGAAAATAAGAACTTTGGTTTTTTTAATAAAAATATATTGTTAATATTATTTTTGTTTTAGAGATGATTTAAAACAATGATGAATGGAGAGAGTTAACAAAATGTAAGAAACGGAAGAAGGAAAAATTTATCTGAAGAAGAACCAAATATTAAAGAGATGCATGCACATTCATTATTTTTAATTACGCGTTGCTCATATCTTAAGGCTACTTTCTCTTCAAACCGGGAAAATAAAGCAGATGAATATCACATTTTTAAAGATTCCAAATATAAATTGAATCAGTCTTTATAATCATTTTAGAATAATAATAAGTTTTAAAATATCTTTTATATTCACTGTTGATGAACTTGGCCTTCAATTACTCAATGAACATCCACAGGATCATTTAATTAGATATCCCAAGCAAGACTTTTTTATAAAGAATTCAGTTGAGATTAGAAAATTGGTTTTTTGTAACCAAACCTTAAAGCTAAAAAAAAATTTGTCTACAAGACATTTGTCTTAATTATCTCAATTAAATGATTAGAAGTACGCATTGCATTAAATATATGTGATCTTACTTGGGAATTAGCTAGACGTCCGGAGATTAAAAATTATAATGATGAAAAACTGCAAAACAAAATTTTGACAAATTGGGAAAATTTTTAATTAGATTTCAAGCAAGATATAAAATTACGCCTTATCAAACAAAATTTTCCAATGACGTTATGATGAAGGATCAGCCATAGACTTATTGCCATCAAAATTATTTATTCAAATTGAAAATTAACGATAAACAATACAAATTTAAACTAGGGATGTTAATCAGTCCTTAGGGACCAGCCCGGGACTGGTTTTTTTAGGTCTGGTCCACCATTTGAGGTTTGAAGTCCTCATAAAAAAAGTCCTAGGAAAAATCCCACCGATAATTTTTGTGTAATGGGTCGTGGAATATATTCATGGACTTCAATCTGGATTTCGCGAAGAAGTTGTGGTCAAAGAATACATTGGATGTGGGCGTTATCTTGTATACTTGAAAAAGAGAATCGCAGAAAATCAATGTTATGAGAAAAACGAAAGGCTTGAATCTCACTCATCAAAAAATGCGAAAATTTAACAAGAAATTTATTTTTATAAAGCACCATTTTTTTATAAATATAGGGGCATAAAAAGAATAATAGAAAAAGGTTAATCCTGTTTGTTATTAACAATCCATAAATAGCAGACGTTTTCCGATAAAGAAAACCATTGCTGATACTAGTCTAGCACCATGAGAAACAACCCGGGTCAAAATTGACCAGCATTTTACAGAGAATTTTCCATGGTGCCGGCTTGGAAAGAAAATCCATGTTTGGGAATTATCATTGTCACAATAATTCCATAATATTAACTATTAAAAGCAAAGGAATGTTATGGGAATTAGTACTCGATTACTATTTTATAATTCTTTGTGATAAATCTGGTAATTGAACAAGCTTATATATATATAAAGTATCGTCGATAGAATTTATTATTTCTTCTTTTTAACTAGCTCATGTAGTACTCGGATATCAAATTTTCTTTCATTTTTTCTATGGGAATTGGCTTTGCATATTACTTCAGACATATATATATATATTCTCTTCTTTTTATATTACCTAGCATGTTATATTGAGGTCGGTGTGAGGATCCTATAATCAGCAGACAAGAATACTTTAACATATTCTATTTATAGTAATATAGGCGGTTTTTATTGTCCGCCCTAGTTGTGTCACATTCATACAATTTCTTTGGTAAATTATCCTATCGTTTGGGAAAAATATAAATAAAATGCAATTAATTTTATCTTTATATTTATTTATACACACATCCATTTTTTAATTAATTGTTAAAATGAGTGATTTTACTAGTGAAGCTTGTAAAGATTTTGCTCGAATGCTTGAGAGTGAGGAAGGATATGATGTAAAAATTTATGTTGACGAAGAACCAAACATGGAGGAAATCCATGCTCACTCGTTTGTTTTAAGAGCTCGTTGTCCATACTTTAAGACTGCCTTTTCATCAAACTGGGCAAAAAAAGAAGACGGTTATTATATATTTTATAAACCGAATGTCACAGCTTCAGTTTTTAGAATTGTTTTAAGGTAGGCGAACTAAAATTATATCACACACACATATTAATAAAATCAGAATATCATAAGTTAATTCATCGAAAACTTTTTATTGTATTTCTTACTTTACTAGACATTGGTATAGTGGAGATGTTGATTGGACTAATTATACAGAGGATGATATCTTCCAATTATTGATTATAACAGATGAGTTTGGTCTACGATTACTTAATGAACATGTAGAGAATTATCTGATAAAAAATCATTTAAAATATTTGGAGGAAAATCCAATTAAAATACTTCAATTTGTTGACAGTCATAACTCATTTACTAGTTTAAAAAAATTATGTTTGAAGAAGTTATGTTCTAATGCAAAAGAATTTTTCAATTTGGATGTATTTCTAACAATAGAAGAGTCTATTTTATTAATGATACTGAAATGTGAAGATTTAAATAATATCAAGGAGATAGAGATTTGGGACAGTGTACTTAAATGGGGTCTAGCAAGATTCCCAGAGATTGAAAATGATGTGAAAAAATGGACTCCGCAGGATTTTATTAATATGAGGGATACTTTAAAAAACGTCATTCCATTAATCAGGTTTCGTGAAATATCTGGAAAAGATTATTTTGATAAGATTAAACCTTACAAGAAAATCATAGAAAAAGATTTTAGGGACAATATTTTACGTTATTACATAGTAAATGATGAAAAGTCTCTTTCAAATTTACCATACAGATGTCCAGTTATTAATTCAACGTTAATCGATCAGAAACATGTTTTACTTTTTTCAAGTTGGATTGACAAAGCAGGCAAATTGTATGACTCTGTTGAACAAGTCAAATACAAATTTATGCTTTTGTATCAAAGTAATAAAGAAGGACTCGAGGTTTCAAGGTATCATCAAAGATGTGATGCAGTAAGTAAAACTCTGACAGTGGTAGGAATACAAAATTCAGATCAAATAATCGGAGGGTATAATCCACTCGATTGGAGTGGTTATGGATACAAATCAACATTAGGTAGTTTTATCTTTAATCTAAATAACAAAAATGATGTCAACACTGCAAAATTCAGTTATGTTAAAGATAGTTCATTTGCTGTTTATTGTGATACTCTTTATTTGCCTACCTTTGGTGCGGGTCATGATATTTTTTTAAGTGAAAATAGTTCTTCAGGTAGTAGTTCATATAGTTACAATAATATTTATATACCCAAATCCTTTAATATTGGTACAATTGAAGTTTTTCAAGTAATTGAAAAAAAATGAATCAAAATCAAATAAATTATATTTATTATATTATATTAAATCATTCTATCTACAACTTTGTCCAAACAAACTTCCTTCAATAATGGGTCACAGATTTACTAGCAATCTCCAAAATTATTTTGAAGTGGAAAAAATTATACACAATAATTACACATAACACTAAAAACTTGAATTAATTATTTAAAAAAATTAAATTCGTTTGGCACTTTTAGCGTGTTTCCAGATTTCTATATTGGTTAAATTGAGACGATAATGTTTGGCTTAACAAAAAAAAAATTCTTTGTATTCTTTATCCGAAGCAGATTCCCACTCCTCCACAAACAGCCGGAGGAGGTTGTGGAATCGGTCTTTATCGAATTGTTTACCAGGAGCATTGAATTTGTAGCAGTCAATTGGGTGTCGTATTTTCACTTTCTAATCTATTGCATATGAAAAGTTGGATTGTGCGAAATTATCCAATCAAATTTGAATATTATTACATCGGAGGGAATACAAAATTTTAACCCATGCAATTTGTTGATTGACCAATTAAAATCGCAAATTTGATAACGTAGAAATAAATATGGGTTTGATTCATTTTGTCAACAATCACTTCACCAACAATTGTTTCATTAACGAATTTAA